AACTAAACAGAATATATATTAAATTGACTACAATCGAATTTCATCAAAATATAATTGAATTCTACACGTTAAGTAACCAAAAAAAGTTGTAAAAAAATAATTATTTTCTGTTTTCCTCGACTGCAGTTGTTGTAAAATAAATTTTATATGCTAAATTTTATTGGACCGAACACTTTTCAATTGTTAGTATACGCTTTAAAACTTAATAGAAAATTTTTTATAGCATTTGTTATATAGCTCTATATTAGAAATTTTATAATTTTTAACTACGGTTTTAATCAAAAAAGTAGAAAAAATTTTTTTTTAAATATATTAAATCATTATTAGCAACGGTAAAAATGTGCTACTACAAACAATACAGAATGGACGTCAGGTTTACTACAATCGAGTTTTGTTGAAAAAGAATTAAATTCTTCACGTAAGTAACAAAAAAAAAGTTGTAATAAAAGGATTATTTTTCTTTTTATGGACTGCAGTTGTTAAAATATGAATGTTATTTGCTAGATTTTTTTAGACCATACACTTTTTATTTTTTAGTATCCGCTTTAAAACTTAAAAGAAAATTTTTTATAGCATTTGTTCTATAGGAATTCTTTAGATAGCTGATAGTTTTTACTTAAAACAAATCTAAAAAGCAGCGAAAATTTTTCCTAAATATATTGAAAAGTTTTTAGCAAAGGTACAATGTGCTATTAGAAACATAACAGAATTGTTGTCAGGTTGACTACAATCGAGTCTCGACGAAAATGAATTGAATCCTAAACGTAAAGTAACCAAAAAATGTCGTAATAAAATGATTTGTTTTCTTTTTCTTTACTGCAGTATTCCCAATATAAATAATGTTAGCATATTTCTTTCGGACTAAACACTTTTTATTTGTAAGTATACGCTTTAAAGCTTGAAAAAATACGTTCATAGCGTCTGTTAAATAGCACTTTATTAGATTGTTTTTAATTTTTAATTACGCTTTAAAACAGAAAGTAACGAAAATTTCTTTTTAAATATATTGAAAATTTTTTAGCGAAGGTTACAATGTGGTTTTAGAAACTATACAGAAAAGATGTTTGGATTACTACAATCGACTTTCGTTGAAAGAGAATTAAATTCTTCACGTAATGTAACTAAGAAATGTTGTAATATAATGATTTTTTCTCTTTTTTTGGACTGCAGTTGTTAAACTATAATTGGTATTTGCTAGATTTCATTGGACAAAACACTTTTCTTTTGTTAGTATACGCTTTAAAACTTGAAAGAAAACGTTTCATAGCGTCTGTTAAATAGCACTTTTTTAGAGTGTATTTATTTTATAACTACGATTTAATCCAGAAAGTAGCGGAAATTTCTTTTTAAATATAATAATACATTTTTGGCAACTGTAAAAATGAACTACTAGAAACTAAACAGAATGGACGTCAGATTTACTATAATCGAGTTTCGTTGAAGAAGAAGTGAATTCCTTACGTAATGTATCCAAAAAATGTTGTAATAAAATGATTTTTTCTCTTTTTTTAGACTGCAATTGTTAAAATATAAATGTTATTTGCTAGATTTTATCGGACCCAACACTTTTCATTTGTTAGTATATGCTTTAAACCTTGAAAGAAAATATTTTATAGAATTTGTTCTATAGCATTTCTTTAGATATCTGATAGTTTTTACTTATAATTAATCTAGAAAGTAGCAAAAATTTCTTTTTTAATATAATAAAACATTTTTAGCAACGGTACAAATGAAATACTAGAAACTAAACAGAATGGACGTCAGGTTTACCACAATCGAGTTTCGCTGAAAAAGAATTGAATTCCTTACGTAATGTAACCAAAAAATGTTGTAATAAAATGATTTTTTTTCTTTTTTTGGACTGCAGTTGTTAAAATATTAATGTTATTTGCTAGATTTTATTGGACCAAACTCTTTTTATTT